TATTCTTATGGCCAACTCCTTAACACTGAAACCTTTGAGATTTGTTATATTAAAAACTCAATGAGTCTTCCCCTGACCTTCTCATTTAAAATTGTAACCTGTCCCACCTCTAGCACCCTTGATCCTCCCCTTAAATTGCTCTACTTTTCCAGAGCACTCAGCACTCTCTAAAAAAAGATGTAATTTGTTTCTTACTATGATTACTGCTTATCATTTGACTTTTTCCAGCAAAACGTGAGCTCGAATGGGACACACATTTGTATGTTTGGTTCACTGCTGAATTCCAAGCACCTAGATAAGTGCCTGGCACACAGTAGGATTTAATAAATATTTGTTAATTTGAATATATAGATGCCATATTGGTTTTTGAGGGCTAAACAACATGCTCTGGACCTTACATTAATGCAGTGCTTGGTCCATAAAGCTAAAATGAGGATAGCTATGAGCAAATACACAGGGTAAGAAAATGTCCATGTCCTCAGCCTTCCTTTTCTCTATTCTTTTCACTCAAGATGCTGCTTCATTTTCCTATCTTAAGACTCAGATAATCAGAGAATCCATGAAAAGATTTCAATAAGTTTAATTTCAAAGCACGTGTATGAAGTAGCTGAATATACATTTCTTGATTATTTGATAATCAAAAATGCATATTATTTTCCAAAAGCTTTCCGTTTTGCGAGATAAAAGTAATCTTTAGTCAAAGAAATGTATCTCAAACTGGATTTGGGTGCTTTAGTGAGCTGAAGTAACAAAATATTTTAGGGATAGAGAAGTTTTTGTGATACATCTACAATCATATTATATGTGGGGAGTTTTGTTTCACCAATGACTAAATGACCTCATATATAAAAAAATCCTTAAAGAAAATTCGTCCAAAGAAAGTTCATGATTATAAAAACTTCATTTGTTGGGAAATAGTCTGATAAAATTCAACCCACGTTGAAAAAGCAGGTCCATGGTTTGACATCTTTTCTTATAAAATAGAATAAATTCAATTCCCTTGTGTCAAAAGTAGGAAGATATATTGGGAAGTAATTGATCCATAGCATGAAGAAATTCTTTACTGTGAACAATTATCTTCACTGTCTATTGGTTCTAATCCATTTCATTGAATTTTAAGCTATATAAATAAGTATTCTAGATGTAGCTAAAGATGATGGATAAGCAAGATAAGCGTTGTACATGCCCACTGAGATCATTATATTATTGCTTCAGTGTTGAATGTTTCTTGAATTGTATTATATTACAAGCAGTGTGTTAGAGAAATAAGATACAGCTCTGGCCTCAAATAGCTATGGAGAAAATTAAGATAAAATATAAAAGATACCACAAATTAAATGTGTACAAAAACCGTGGAAGCAGAGATGAGGCATGATTGCTTCTGATGAAGAGGTCAGAGAAGGTATTTTCTGAGCTGAGCTACAGAAATATGAGTAGAATTTCATCAGAGACAAAGAAAGGAAGACACTACAGGCTCAGTAAATTAAACCCATGGAAAAAATAAGGAAGAAGGTAATGTAAAAAAAATTAAAAAATGGGAGAAGAGGGGTGGATTTGTGATTAGAAATCAGAAAATGATAGAACTGAAAAATAAATTGATTTGCCTAGTTCTTTGGAAAGAAATAAGACATACCCTTGTATCTAGTCCAATCAAGAAGAGGGAAAAACACATATACTCCAAACAAAAAAATATGTAGGAAATAATCACAAATAAAAAGGAAATGAAAGGAATTTTATGAAGTTACTTTCTTCAATTCTCCATTTCATGCAAAAGAAATGTGAAAATCTAGATTAAAGGAATAATTTTGGGGGAAAATATAATTTACCATAACTGATTCTAGAAGAGTTAGGAAACAATTTCAGTATCCTCAAAGAAAATGAAAAAACATTTTATAATATGCAAACTCCATTTTTGATAAAAATTCTTAAAATAGAGATAGATAGATGCTTTTATGACGTAATAAAATGTATCTGCTTCAATACCAATGCCGGGATTAGGCTTAAAAATGAAACACTAGAACAAGTTGCATTAAAGTCAGAGATGTCCACAATTGCTATTATTTAATATTGAACTCTATATCTTAGACTGACTATTAGACAAAAGGGATAAATTAAAGTTATAAATATTGGAAATGAAGAAATAAATTTACCAATATTTGTAGATAATTTGATTGTCTGTCTGGACAGCTCAAGAGAATTACTAAAAAAAACCCCAAACTTTAAAAACAATAAGGAAATTCAGTAATTTTTCTCGAACAAAATCAATAGTTGTCATTCAGGCAAAAACCAGTTAGAAAACATATTTGAGAAAGACTTTATCTCAATACCATCAAAAAGAATAAATACCTAGGAATAAACTTTCCATGACAGGTACAAGATCAATAGGAAGAAAATTTTAAATCAATATTGAGGGACCCAAAAAGACATTAACAAATAGAAAAACATATTGTGTATTTAGATAATAAAACTCAGCATCAAATGTGTCACTTTTCACTAAGGTAAAAATCCATAAATTTAGTATTATTCAAATAAAAAATAGTATTTGAAATCAGACAAGATGATTTTCAAGTTCACTGAAAAACAGGTAAGAAAAGTCAGAATATAATAGGGGGAAAAATGAATTAATGGTGGGGGGGGTGTTAATAATTCTACAAGATATTGAACATGTTATAAAACTACAAGAGCTAAGACAATGTGACAGTCACTCAACTAGACATATCAATGGACAGAACAGGAAGTCCAGAAAAAAAAATATATCTATGTACTTATATATGATTTGTATATATCACATACAGAATATAGCACATGTTAAAGGTGGCATTTTATATCAGTGGGGAAATATTATCTGCTAAGCATAAATGACATGGGGAACATTTGCTATCTGTCTGAAAAAGGTCAAATTCATTCAGATTTTCATACTTTACATCAGAATGACTTCCTAATGTTTCATAGTTGAAATGTTACAAAAAAAAAAAGGAAACCACAACGTACTACAGCAAAACTCTACCATAAAACAGGTGAGATATCAAAATTCAATTGTTTAAAATGTGGAATTGTATTACTATAAATTAATGAAATGACCAAGACAGCAACAAGCCTGTGTAGTAGATCAAAAGTTCTGTGATAACCAGCTCTGCTGTCCATATTCAGTCCTGGCTGCGGTTTGTCATCCTCTCCTGGCAATTGTTCATGTCTGCTTAAATATTGATGCAGAAGATTCTTTTTTTTTTTTTTTTCGTGAGGAAGATTAGCCCTGAGCTAACATCCACGCCAATCCTCCTCTTTTTGCTGAGGAAGATTGGCCCTGAGCTAGCATCCATGCCCATCTTCCTCCACTTTATATGGGATGCTGCCACAGCGTTGCTTGACAAGCAGTGTGTCGGCGTGCACCCGGGATTTGAACCTGCAAACCCCGGGCCACCAAAGCTGAGCTCATGCACTTATCCGTTATGCGACTGGGCTGGCCCCGATGTGAAAGATTTTTGGTCTATGGTTGGCAGCAGCAATCCCAGACCTCTGAAGAATAGTTGGCAACCATTTTGTCAGTTCCCTCTGGGGAGACTATGAACAGAGAATACTTCCATAAACAGGGTTGCCTGGCATTCTATTCCCAGCTTTGCCATCCACTTTGTACCTCAGCTCACACCTAACTGGGAATAAGAAATGAAATCTAGTTCACCTTTATTTGAAAATGGAGCCTGTGTAAAGATGGGAACCCATTGCTAATCACATTATATCCAAGATAAGATTTTCATATGAATTGTGTGGAACTTTACCATAGAAGAAATCATGGAGGAGTTTTCAAAATCATCTTGGAATGGGGAAGGCCTTTCTAAGTGTTACATAACACCAAGAAGATATTAAAAGATATATTGACAAGTCTGAGTAAGGTAGAACCCAGTATATACAAAGTCTAAAGATAATAACAGACTAGAGAAAAATATTTGGAACTCAGTTTTAATTTTCTTAATATATAAAAGCTATCTAAAATAACTTAAAAGCCAACAGCATCCTGAGAGACACATATTCAAAGGATAGGAACACATGGTTTACAAAATACTAAAAAAAAATACATATACATGTTTGTAGAAACTCAACTCATTTACTATAAGTGAAATGAAAATTAAAATGACACTAAGATCTCATGTTTTACTTACCAAATTTCAAATATAAAATATTTCATAACATACTCTATGAGCATAAGTGTGAGGAAACATTAGCTCTTGTACTTTTTTATACATTGCTACTGAGAATGTAAATTCTCAGGCTTCTATCCAGCAAGTTACAAATGCACATATTCTTTGATCCAATAATTCCATTTTGGGGGTTCCATTCTACAAATACTTGTGTAAATGATTTGTATACAAATTTATTTATTGAAGTATTTTCTGTAATTATAAAAGATTGAAACAATCTGAATGTCTACTAATAGGGCCTGGTTAAAGAAATGATTGTACCTCCATACAAGGAACTATCATGCAGCTGTGAAAGAGATGGCTAATCTATATACTGATAGGATTTCCAAGATAGACGATTAAGTGCAAAATGCAGGGCTCAGAACAGTGTGAATAATATACACCCCATTTCCATAAAAAAAAGAAAATATGCATATATATTTTATATTTACTTCATATAATATATATTGATATACATATTTCATAAATACATTTCATATTTATGCTTAGAATATCCCAGAAGAGATACACAAGAAACTGGGAGCCTTAGTGCTGTCAGGGTGGGGAATGGGGGTATGTCAAGGGTCAAGACGGGGTGAGACTTTTTACTTACATTTTTATGTATTATTTTTTATTGAATATACTTGACACATAACATTGTGTAAATTTAAAGTGTACAGAATGTTAGTTCGATACATTTGTATGTTGTAATATGATTGCCATTGTAGTGATATTTAGCACCTCTATCATGTTATAGAATTATCTTTTCCTTTTAGTGGTTGGGATAAATAAGTTCTAGTCTCTTGGCAGGTGTGATGATTGTAGTACAATATTATCGTCTATATTCATTATACTGTTCATTAGATCTCTATGGCTCATTTACTATTCGTTGCAAGTTCATACCCTTAAACAGCATCTATCTTATCCCCCACCCTCGCTGTTTTCATATTTTGAATTTCGACAATATGAACCGTAAAAAAATTAAAGTATCAAAAGGGTTCTACTACTAGCACAGTTTATAAACTACTCATTTTAGTTTAGCTTCTTTATTTTAAAGAAGAAGAAAATAAGACCCAGAACAGTGGTGACAGAAGGGTACTCAGCTTTCTGCAGACAGGACCAGAGCTAGATCCTAGATTTTCTGCCTCCCACTTCAGGACGAAGTCTACAACATCAGAAGAAAACAAACTTACATAACTGGATATTATGAAGAAATCAACCAAGGAAACAAAACCAAAATTGAAAGTATATTTTAATTTCAGATTATACTCTACAGTCTGATACGAAATATTCTGAAAATGTTGCCATTTCTCGTTCATGAAGATGTTAGATATTTCTCCACCTTACTGCATGGTCTTGAGTAGCTTCCTTCAACAGTAGTGACAGAAATTAAGCCTTCTTTATCTCTCACAGGTTCTCCTTTGTGATCAAGATCTTATATTTGCGAGATAACTACCTAAGGTCAGAAAAGATTATCTGCATCTGTGGAACAGAGATTTCCTCTGTGCCATGCTGAGTGACACCATTTCCTTTAAGACTTGGATCCAAACTCTCTTCTTCAAACATCTTAGCATTCCTTGCCTTTCCTGAATTATTTCCTCTCTGAATGTGCCTTAATTCTATGTCACTTCAACTCCTAAAACTATGATTTATGGAACATGTCCTTCCTTTCAATTAAATTGTACAAATATTTAGTGAAGCTCCAACCATGTTCCAGGTACCATGTTAGGACTTGGGATAAAAAGATGAATAATACAAAGCTTCTGCCTCTAACGAACTCAGTTTAATCAGGGGTATAGATTTATCTATTTAAAAATTATTTATTGAGGGCTTACTATGTGTCAGGCATTGTTTAGTGTTAGGCATAGCAGTGAAGAAACATACAGAAATCCTGACTACTGAAAATTAGATAAATTTGATAATGGATTGCATATTAGCCAATATGAGGGGATTTTTATTAATTTTGTAGGTGTGATAATTATTGTGGTTATATAAAAGACCTTAGTCTTAATATATGCTTGCTGACATATTCAGGAGAGAAAGTATACAAATTACTATCAAATGATTCAGGAATTTTTTTTTTTTTTTTTACCTGGGATATACAGCCTTCTTCCATAGTAGAAACACACTCAAACCAACACTTTTCAAATCTTTCATGAGTTCTTCTTTGTAACCAAATGGTGTATTTGTTAGATAATTGCCTGTGATTAGAAGCTATTATCTGTATTTATTTTATAAAATTTTAAAGTATATGTCTATATCTATTTCTAGATAGATTAAGCAAACAGTGGAAGCATGTTAACAATCATTGACTCTAGATGGTGAGTAGAAGAGGTTCATTGTACAGTTCTTTAAAATTTTTTTGTATGTTTGATATTTTCCATTTAATATAGCCTTGGAAAAATCTCTGTCCACTGGAGCATACATTCCAGTCGGGGGAGACAGACATAAAGAAAGAAATAAGTCAAATATATAATTTGTCAGATGATGATAAATACTGTGGGGAATCATAAAACAGGGAGGAAGATGAGAGATGTAGCTTTAACACAAATAATTTATAAATCTACATGATTGACTAATTTTTAAGTGCCATGGGCACAATGACTAAGGCATGATTTCTCCTCTGTGAGACATGCAGGAAAGACCTGGAGAAGAGATTACTGGAGCAAGATTTTAAAGGATAAATGGAAATTTGCCAAAGGGACAAGTTCGGGGGCTAAACCCTGAGAGAATATTCCAGGACAGATTAATAGTGAGAATGAGTGATTCCCAAGCTCTACTAAAAAGATTTTAGTTCAGAGGTCCTATAATATACATGTTTACAAAGCTCCACAGATAATTCTAATGTGCTCCAAAAGTTGAGATTCTGTAGCATGGAAACAGGTATAACTTGTGGGAAAAAACAAAATGAGGGAAGTGGTTGGAAATGTAGGCTGTTGCTAGGCAGGAAAGGGAATTTATAACAAGGTAAAGATTTTGAAATTTATTCTGTAGGCACTGGGAGCCATAAGAGGCTTTAACCATGAGAATTACATGAGTGATCATATCTGATTTTAGAAAAATAACTCAGATGGTGTGTTTATGTAGGTGAGAGAAGGGAGGTAGTAGAGGCAGGGAGACCAGTTAAGCTACCCCAGTAATTTGAATGAAAGCTGATGAAATCTGCTCTAGGTCCCTGGAACTTACAGTAGAGAGATGTTTGGCAGAAGATCGGATAGATTTTGTTGAGGAAACGTGAGTGAGAAGAAGGATTCTAATTTTCCTGATTTTATGAGCCACTAACAGACTTAGGGAAATAGAAGAAACAGTTTGGAGGGGATGGAGAATATACATCAACTTGCAGTTTTTGAAAAGCTTGTGGGACACATAAATGGATCTATCTAGAAGAAAAAAAAAAAAACACAACCCTGAAGCTTGAGCAAGTTTTGGGACAAAAAAATAGAGATTTTGCACACATTACCTTATGTTTGGTATGTTGGAGCCCTGGGTCCTGGACTTGGTGGACAAACCTACTGATGCCCATGGAAGATACTAGGCAAAAGAAAAGAAAATGTGAGCAGCACTTAAGAAATGGTCAGGGGAGGAAGAGGTAATGGAAGCCACTAATTCTTTTATGCCAAAGAGTTTAGAAATTCCTCAAAGACAGAACAGTGTCTTTTACTTCCTTTGTAAATTTCCAGAGCATTAGTGCAGCACAAACAACAGGTATTTAATAACTGCTTGCTGAGTTGATGACCTAATGACACATATAAGAATCAAGATTTTGCCTATTAGCAATATCTCCAAAGTCTAGATGAAGGATTTAGAATCTAGTATCAAATACCAATATTAATGAATCAAAGAAAACAAGGAATATTAAAAACTAATCTCTTTGAGTTGTTTTTTTCAGTGTTAGAACTCAACCTAAAATCTAGTTAATTAAAAAAAAAGACTATTCAGATATAAACTACTTATAGGCATTTTCCAAGTGCTTTAAGGATTATATGTTAACATTTCTGTAGATATTTTACTCTTTTTGTGCTTAGCATTTTGGGTTCTTTTTCTCACATTAGAACATTAGTCTTAATAATTTTTAAACATTTAAAAAACATTTGGCTTCTGTATATGATACCATTTATATGGTTCTTGCCAACTATTAATGACATTTCATAAGTCATATCATAAACCATTTAGTATCTTTCTAGGAAAAAGAGTCTTTTGACTACAGGGACTCGTGTAGCTACTTTTGGCTTATTTAAGCAGCCAGGCTAATTGAATGAAAGGCAGCATGAACTGTAAGTTGTGTGATAGTTGTCTCATCAGATCACATAGTAGTGATAGTTGTCTCATCAGATCACATAGTAAACCAGAGGAAACAAAAGACCAAAACTCTCCATGGCTTATTAATTAAGTGAAAAGAGGGAAACTAAAATCAATCATAGGAAATGTATTAGCAATGGTTACTCATATGGCAGCTGGATGACCTTCAAATCAAGACTACGCAGATGTGTTGAAAGAGATGGAAGATGAAAAGCATAATATTTATTGGATCCAGTGAGTCTCACAGTGCGTCTTACAGGATTCAGGCTCATAATTTCCTAAGTGACTCAGCAGCATTGCACAGTCGATGCTTTGAAAAACCCAGTTCCTCAAGACAACTCTGAAGTACTAAATGATGCTTTGCTGACCTATGTTATTAAAATCCTTCTCCACGTTACCAAAATATGCTCCTGAGTGGTGTGTTTACCTGTTGGATTGACTAATTTCTATATTGTTAAAAATATCCTAAGAGCCCTTCCCCCACACAACAACCTACTGAATTTTCTTCCGTAAGTCTAAATAACTGTAGGAGTCAGAGCCGTTAACCCTTCAGTATTTGCTGTGTTATTTTGAGCTTCTTCCAAAGATTTTCTAGTCATGTGCCGAAAACAAATTTCAGCTAAATAATTAGTCTTCGTTTAGGAAGAGGCTGAAAGTATGGGGAACTTAAAGGGAAAAAAAATGAGAGCAAAGCTATTGTAATCCCCACAGGCAAACACTTCACTCCAGAAAAGCAGATTCCTTTTCAATTTACAGCATAAAAACAACCTTGAGAAAATAAACATCGTGACTTACTCAAGTTTCCATCACTAAAAGTTGTTCTTCACTAAAAACACCAAACCACAAATCTGTGTAAGAAGTGACAGAGGCCAGGGTTCTAATATTTTTTGTTTGATCAGGTTCATTGGTTTTTGAACACTGCTAAATAAATAATTTTATCAGGAACTAGAATAAAAGGTAGTTAATGACTTGACGTTCACAATTGGAAGGTTAATGTTTCTCAGTTCCAAGAATTTAGCACTAGGTAAATCTTTATTATAGCTGATAATGAATAATTTACAGTAAAAAAGTATAAATCATATTCTGCCGTGAGTTTAGCTTTCCCGGGAAATAAGCATACTAACTAGCACTGTGTCTGTTTACTCGTTTATCTTAGCTATGTTAATAAAATTTAGGATGTTGTCACTAGAAGCAACTGTTTAGTTTGCTAACATTCCTTTAGGAAATATACTATGTTTAGACAGACTTTTAAAACAATCAGCATCCGGACCAAACATCTGATAAACTGTACGGCAGGAATAGCTACTTTAATTTTAGATAGAGTAACGATGACTTATTTCCTCTCATTGCAGGTCTGTGGCTGCTTTTTTTTAGGACCAGTAGGAAGGAGTTAAAACTCGGCTTTGTACAGACTGGGAAAGATATTCCCTAACGCTTCTAATTAATCACAACCTTACTTAGTCTCCAGGTTTATGGATCCCAAACTCTTTTCTAATTAGGTTGTAATTAGGAGTTAATTTATTGTTTTGTATGCCTGAAGTATCCTTTGGGAATAACTTTACTTTTAAGCCAATGTATGGAATATGAGAAAGTTTGTACATCTAGTAAGGTAGTG